CACTGTGAGAGCGGCCCGGGGTGACATTCACCCTTCAAGTCGTGATTTTCACCGTTCACCCCCGAAAACGGTGAATTACGGTGAGGGCGAAGATAGAGTGAAAGTCGCCTTCGAAGAATCACCCCTTCGAACGTCGAATTTCACCCAGATCGGCTCCCCCGCCATTCACCAGCATTCACTCTCTGCGCTATTTTCGGTTCACCGAGCGCTATGCGCGGTGGCTTCGGTTGAAGCGACTGCTCGATTGTTACATTAACTTACACGATGCTCGAGAACAGAATATAAATAAGTTGAAGCTAAAGTGTACGACAGGTGGCAGTCCGTCATGTATCAACAAAATTTGGACGGGATAGAGAGCCGCTGCGGTCCAAAATTGCCCATCTCCTACCAATATCCTTTACGCGTGCTACCAGACATTGTACACACGACAAATCCATGAACTCTTCTGTTTTAGACTCGTGAGAGTAGTATTGAATGTCCAAGAGACCGTGCGTGGCTTCGATTTCGCATGTTGTGACGCCGGCGAGGAAGACGACCTCCGGTTCTTCTATTCCAAGCGTAGGGCAACGTTGGAGGTGGATAGCGACGACGTGTTGTAAATGTCCGTACTGTGTCTGTGGGATGTACACGGGCTCGACATTACGAAGGTGCGCAAATTTGTCGACCATGATGTGGTACTTATGGTCAACAACGTAGTTAGTGGGTGACTCATGAGTCTTATAGCGAGGAGAGCACTCACCCGTACGTATGTGGCGTCACGGCGATCTTCTCCAGGAGTACCGTTAACCGTCGAGGCTGTATATAGCACGTCGCCCTCGTCAATGGCAACGCGACCCCATTCCTCGATGAATGCCTCAGCAATGCAACACCTCAGGGCGGCGAATTGACGGTGTGCATCAAATCGGGTGGCGAGCGTCTTCGTGATCTTGGCTATGAGTGGACTGGACGACTCTACTGTACGACGTGGCGTTAGGAGTGTGCAGGTGGGGTCTGGCACAGATGACCGTTAGTAAGTTCCCGATAACAAATCATGTGGCGCTACGTACAAGCAGGATTGCTCAGACCAGACCTCATCGTGATCTCATTTTTTCGGGGATGGAGGGATATGGAAGGGTCCTGAAGGTTGTAAATGAGCTGAATCTGGAGAATCTGAGCACTCTCGATGACGAAGCGATCAAGAGACGCATATGGATGTTTGCGGCTCTTGATGGCTGGGCGAATAAGGCCACAATACCGTTCCATAGGAAACTCCCAATATGCCCATACAGGGCCACACGCCTCGATGGTATCGGCAATATGAAGGAGGGCGTGGACGGTTACGGGGCATGTTGAAAGACGCGAGGGGTCATATTGATAGTAGAGTCTGTTCGAAAGAGAGAGATCAGCGCTGTGAAACACAAAATTCATGTAACAGTCAGAGAATAAATATAGACTTACTCTTCGAATTTCTCTACCCACAAAGCAAAACCTTCTCGGAGGCGCACAACGTCGCCAGCTGTGATCGTGAACTGAAGACAGATATGCAGAAGGACTACGAGATCAACGAAATGCTCGTAGTACTTCTGGTGAGTGAAACGGCGGCGTAAGAGAACAGGACCGAGGAAGAGGGTCCAGAAGGACCATGAGTCGGCAGTTGTCGCTGAACGATTGGAGGCGACGTTAGGTGGGCGAGCACTCGTATAGCAACTAGGAATGGTGGACCCTGACGCCGCTGTTGCATCCCCTATAGCGTCCCAGACCTGTTTCTCGAATTGGTAGGTCCCAGAACCGACATCAAGGCCCTTGAAGTCACCGGTCCAGAGGGAAATTAAATTCTTCATGGTGTTCTCCCACAGCAAGTGCATGAAACCGTAAGGAAAAGACTTCGAAAGCGAAATAGAAGGGATGCGAGAAAGGATTGGCACACCCTTAATGCCGTAGAGCTTTGCGAGAAGCTCCCTCTCAGTCCCCGTCCGTGCTGTTTGGACCTCCTCCGCCATCCTCAGCATCTCCTTGTGTGTGCGTAACGGCAGGTTTCGAGCGTCGAACGAACGAAGAGCGCTAGGATCGCGAAGGACTGCTGGATGTCGTGAGCGGTCGAGAGGTACGTAGAGTGTCTTGACGTCGGAGCCAGGTGTGCGTACAGCGGTTATCTTGCAGATCCGGCACGGTGAGAATCCATTATGCCCCTTCACTTTCATGAGTAGTGAAACGGCGGGGATGTCGCCGAAGACGAGGACGAGGTATGCGCAAAGTACAAATGCAGTCTCGGAAAGTGCGTCAAATGCGGTGATTCCGGCTGCGAGATCGACGAACTCTTGTACGAGAGGCCACAAGAACGAGTCGATATCAACAGGCTTCTTGGGGCCAGGGATGACACCGAGGGATATGATGTGACGGAAGTGAAATCGAATTTCTGGGGGGAGATTGTAATTGAATAAGATGAGAGGCCAGCATGTCGACTTCCGTCGACGGAAAGGGGCGAAACCATCAGTCGAAAGACCGAATGCAACGTCGCGGCCATCTTGGAAGAACTTGTGGGGTAGAGTGCGGTGGTTAATGACGACGTACTCTCGCTTCAGGCGCTGATAGCGCTTGCTGTCCATGAAGTCGCTGATCTCTCCGTCTACGGGCTTGTGGCCCTCCGCGCGATAGGTCATTTTGGAGGCGACGGCACGACTGGCTAGCATTGCCTTGAGACGAGGAATGAGCGGTAGATAGGTGAACCTTTTTCGAGCGCGTCCATTTGCATTATGACGAGGTGTGTGGCATATTCGGCATTGACGATCTTCTGCGTAAGGACCCGTATAACACATGCACACGTTGGGACAGCAGTCGAAGATCTCAGGCTTGAAGCCAGCGAGATGTGCAATACGGGTCTGAGCGATTTCGAGGGACGGTACATGGGAATCGGGCATCGCGAAAGGTAGGTCGCGATAGGCAGCGTCAGTGAGGTGATGTCGAAGCTTGTACGAATACTGACGAAGGATCGCAATATCGCTCGCTTCGAGATCTTCCACTATTGTTTATTAAGTTGGTAAGTAAAATCGGTCTGAAGAACGAAGGGAAAGTCTTACCGGTGAGTTGCGTCTGCCGCTCAAAATCCTCCCTTAATGCGTCCATGGCCGAGAGAAATGGATCGTCGGGGTCAAGATCCCCAAAGGAATCCTCGAGATCACAGTCTGAATCGATTTCATCCTGATTGTCCCACTCCAGATCCTCAAGGTCGTCATCATCTTCCTCTCCGGTAGTTGGTACGTCTGCTGCCGAGGAAGAGCCGGTGGTTGGGGTAGTGTCGAGCTGTGCAGCTGGGCTTGGAGGGGCGACGAAACATTCCGGGGCAGTTGGATTCGAAAGGTCCATGGTTGGCTCTGGACAGCCTGAAGGAGACCTGGGATAAAGTGGACTGCCGCGGCTACCTTCAAGATAGTATGAGGTGAGTAGAATGTTCATTATAGTGTAGGCCAAAATATGAGTAAACAAGACGTTTCTGTGGATGGATGCGGAGGTCTACGCACCTCCATCAGGGCCTAGTTCAGTCCCTCCGAGATTCAGGCTTGCATGACCCAGGCTATTGGAGTCTTGTAAATGGTTGAAGCAGAACGGATGGCATTAGAATGAGACATAGGCTGATAGATAATAGTAGGGAAACCAACACACCTATAGTCGATGAACCCGGCTCGGACGCAGCGGCCCCCTCTACATCAACATCCTCTAGTCGTCGTTTCTTTGTCTGTCTCTGAAGCGGTGCATGAAAGAGCTCCAAGACCGCTGCTGCCGTGCCTCGAACCTCGGGTGAAGCTTTTCCATCTCGGTGCAGTCGTTCCGTCGTCGGGTGGACTTGCTGTCGGCAGCCACAAGCACACCATACCCACTTACCAGAGGGTGCTGGATTGGTAGTGGACTCCTTACGACGACGAGGGGGCATATGGATAACGAGCTACACGGTGCTGTAGACTACGAAGGGGGAGCAGAAGACGAGGATGAGGACAAAAAGCGGAGGTGTGTAGCGTGGCACTTTCTCACGACTCAGAATCAACAGCTGTGTCTTCAGCCGCTTATTAAGTGTTCTTATTCACTCAAGTCTTTTTTTGAGAACAGAAAACAAGGGCTCATGTTGAAGATCAAGTAGAATCAATCTACAAAAAACCCTGCCCCGAGATCTACACGCACACCCGTCGACGAGACTTTAGAAACCAAAGATCATGAAGTTGCCCTACAGGCCAAGCAGATCGTTCAAGTCGATCGGAGCAGGACGTGATGCACGGTCCCTGAGTTTCTCCTGCAGACGACGACGGCACCATTGTGCGACCTATTAGTAAGGACTGTCAGATTCACTCTCGATTCACGAGAAATTGTCTATGTGAGCTTACCGACTTCAAGCATATTCCCCCAGTCTGGGCCGAAACCTCCAAGCCAGTCGCTATATATCGTGTCCAGGATTGCGGGAGGGCTGATGAGGTAGGGATGCTCGACCCAGCCGTAGAGGAATTCGGCTTTGATGACCAGAGCAAAGTGTTCATCCTCGGAGAGGTTGGGCACATCAGGTTGATTGTCATCGAAAGTCTGGACCATTTCCTGCATGAAATATAGATCAGGGAGCGAGTTTTTCGTAAAAAAGGATAAGGAAACGTACCGGAAAATGAACAACCTCGATCATGCACTTGATTTTGTCAGGCATCATCTCAGTCGAAAGCATGCGCGGGTCGTCTTGGTTCCAAGCACACATGTT